AAAAAAAAAAAAAAAAAAAGAAAAACGGTATCCATGAAAAAATACTATTAGAATGAAAGAAAAAGGATGGGAAACCAATAGCAAAGAATATATGCCAGAGAAACGAAATTATTTATGAACTCTTCCTGTAAATTTAAGAAATTAATATCACTTCTGTAGAAAAAATAAATGTGGTATAAAGATATAAGGGCTCTAAACAAATAATGCAAGGCAAAGAGTTGATAATGGGCACACACAACCCAGGCAGCACGCGGATGAGGAAAATAAGATGATAGAAAGCCACAAAATTAAAAGACAGTATGAAAAACACAGTGAAGTGTTTTGGAAGGAAAACACTTTGTATGTAAAAATAAGGTAACCAAACAGAATAAAGGCAAAGGCATTACTAAAAAAGGGGGGGCTTAGTGGGACAATTATACATATGAAAAGTAGATAAAAGAGCACTGAGAGATGTAACCTTTTTATCTGAAGAAGAGACTCAGATAAGGGGGGCAGGGAGAAGAAAAGTAGTTATGATTTGAGAAAACAGTAATAAAATGCCTTAGGGCTTTGAACTGCATGCTATACGGTATCTTGGGGTATACAGGAGAAATGATGTCTACTAATGAAGGAGCAGAAAAGTAATGAATTTACAAAATGAAAGACTACTTTTGCAGTTGTGCCCAGATCATTGTAGCCTTTGCACTGAGCTGAAAACACTATTCTTAAAAATCCCCAAAGAATTTGCAGTGGTCTTTCAGAAATATAAATTATATCATTCTGCTCAAACATCTCAATGGCTATCCACTGCAAATATGACAAAATTCTTTTAAGGCTTGATATCCGTATCTGCTTCCTGTCAGCACAATCTGGCCACATGTGTCCTCCTTGCTGTCCCTCAACATGGTGGTACTGCCCCTGCCCAGGGCTTCCTCGCTTGCTTTCCCTTTGTCTGGAATATTCTGTCCTCCAGACTTTATTCTACGTAATTCTCATCCTTCAGATCTTAACTCAAGTGACAATTTCCCTGCCCCTCTATCTTATTTAAAGTAGTGTTTCCTTTCATAATTAATCCATTATGTCAGCTTTCTTCTCTTTTTAATCTCTTTCCATTAAACTCTAAGTCCAGCGAGGCATGGTGGTACATGTGTGGAATGTCAGCAGTGTAATGTCAGCACTGGGAGGCGGATGCAGGAGGATGGCAAGTTGGAGCCCAGCCTGGGCAATTTACTGACTAAGATCCTGTCTCAAAATAAATAAAAATAAAGAAGGACAGAAAAGAAAGAGAAGAAAAAGCTAGAAATGTAGCTGAACTCGAAAACCTGGGGTTCAATCCTCTGTAACACAATACACCCACAATATATATAATATACATATAATATATATAATATAAATTATATAATAATATATGACACCTAATATAATATATAATAACATATCTCATCCATGTGAGAAGAGACCAATTGACAATATTTTTTAATGTTTAAACAACAGGGTGTTTAGATGTACAATAATTTAAGGCATTTTAGTCAGCTGCAAACAAGATCTCTAGCTGAGCAGAGTGGCACACACCAGTAATCTCAGCACTGGGGAAATTGAGGCAGAAAGATCATGAGTCTAAGGCCAGCCTGTGCTACACAGCAAAAAAGTAGAAGCTTTATTATATCTTAAAACCAGAGTAGGATTGATATGCTCTCTTAGACAAATATTCCTAGGCAGCTGAGCCTTCATCTTCTGATGTATAAGCTACACCGATCATTACCACACAATATTCATGGATGCTAGAGAGAGATTGATTTCAGGAACTGCTCGTATGTTTGTTGCAGCTTGAAATTTGTAAGCAGGCAGAAAGCTGGAAATTCTGGGAGGCACTAATATCGCAGTCTGAAGGCAAAACTCCTTTCTCTCTCTTTGGGGCTGCTGCAGTCTTTTTTGCTTAAGGCCTACAAGTGATTGGATAAGGCCCAGCCCTACCCTGGAGGCTATTCTGCTCCACTCAGTCTTCTGACTGAAGTATACAGCACATTTGAAAAACAAGATCTCCACAGCAGCATCTAGACTGGTATTTGACCAAACAACTGGACTGTATGGAGACTCATGTTGACACATCAGATTAACCACCGCAGAAGCATTTGTTGCTTTTTCAAGATTTGCTTTTTCAGTTGTATAATAGCATATTCCATGCATTTCTCTTTATAGGCTTACTTCCTTTGTTCCTATACCCAGTCATTAATCCATATCACTTTTTTCCCTGAAATTAAGTTCTTTCCTTCTCAATAAATAACCTCATCCCTCATAACTAAGGACTGCCAGACTCCTGAATAATACATTCATATGAGGACTATTTTTTCTGCACACTGATTTTGTCATGTTTGATGATCTCTCTTGGATATTTATGAGTTCAGGATGCACTGCCTTGAAGTCACCAAGGCCAAATTTGCCGTGGCGAAATCAGCAACCATTACTGTGTATCTCTTATTCTAGTTAGATCAGGTGATAAAAACAAAGCAGCAGTAGAATGTTTGGATCATGGTGACATCACAAGATTACACCACAGTGATTCTTATTCTGTGTTCTGTGGCTTCATCTGATCTCTGTACAACAGATAAGAGAAATGGCATAACTTTAAAGTAAGGAAAGTCATGTGGTACAAATCTTGCTAAACTGGGCTAAGGAATCTAGTTTAAAATGGGCAAAAAGGCGAAAAAAAAGTTTTGTGAGGAAGTACAGTGTTGGGGTTTTAAAGGAAAATCAAAATCACCCACACATAAGAACCGAAAACAAATTAAAAATAGCATAGAGTATTAATTAACGTTAATATCCAAATATGTCTCTTTTACCTTGAAACGTATATGTGTAGTTTCATAACTCCTGCACTCAAGATTATGTTTGTTTTTTATGGAGTATTTGTGCTTTTTGAATACCATGTAAAAGAAGTACTGGCAAATAACCATCTTCTGCATGCGTCCAGGAGGTCATGTGAAGAACATGAAGATTTGCTCTTCTGAAGAGTGTCCTCCCAGCCTCTCTTTGGTCTTTCGGGTGGCCCTCGTCCTTTCTGCCCTTTGTTTTGTCCCTGGCTCCTTGAGATGGTGTGCAGCTAGTCCCTGAGGCTTTAGTAAATGCTTCAGACTCTGGCTGCCTTCCCTTCATCAGCCTGTAACCCTGAGGCCTTATTCTGTGCAAAGAGATTTATCAAAGCCAGCTGATCCCAAAGGTCAAAGCTAATGGGTGCTGCGAAGAGCTCTGAGTTACTAAATCAGTGCCATGAGAAGGAAATATCCAAATCAAAGACAAGCAGAGCTGCCTTGCATTCCTCCTAGAGGTGCAGCCCCTCTGCTGTGTGACGTTGCTTTTGTGTTTTGTGGGAAGTCTTTGCACATTCTCGCCCATCAGACCTTTAGGGAGCTCTTAATTCCTGAAGCGGACAGGCCTCAGAATAAGGACATTTTTCCTGTTCCTTCTTCAGTAGCAGCTGGTCGAGGTTACCTGCCTGGCGCTCACACAGGAGGGGCAGTGGTTTCAAGTGCATCTCACTGCTTCACACTCATTTCCTGTTCTGGTAGCTCTAACCCCATGAAGCCAGAATTGCTTCTTCCCTGGAGTTTCCTCCACTTCCCAGCCCAGTCTCCTAAAAGGAGCTTCCAGATATGTTCAACCCTCTGTGATTTCTACCCCTGGGATTTGACTACACACACACACACACACACACACACACACACACACACACACACATAACAAAAATATTCAGGAAAAAAAAGACTGTACAAGCTTTTTTCCTTGAAAGTCAATACTCCCTAAGTAATGCGGTATAACAACTATTCACATGGCATTTATATCGTATTCAGTATTATAAGTGATGTAGAGATGATTTGAAGGATACGGGAGGATGTGCTTCGATTAATGCAGACACTACGCCATTTTATCTCGGCCATGAGAGGCAATTTGAATACCTTGGGGGTCGGGGATGTCCCGAAATCAGCTTCCCATGGATACCAAGGTACACCTGTAATTCATTTACCTTCCTTACTTTCTTCTTCCTTTTCACTTTTTAAAATCAATGAGGTTGATACCAGAAAGAATATTTTAAATGTGGCTATTATTTAAAATTGAGAGATGCTTATCCAGTGAAATAGCGCCTGTGACTTTTGGAACCCCATAACCTTCTTCAAAAAGCATATACTCCATGGCATGTGTGTGTTGTATATATAATTGTTGAATATAAGACAACTGTTATAACTTCAACCCCCTCTGTTCCTTCTACTGCAGTTGCTTTAATAGCAGGCATCTGTTTATGAGTTCTCTTTCCTAATTTTTCTTGGTTTTGTTAATGACGTTAATCACTGATTGGTATTGTACTTCAGTGTTTGGGAAGGTTCCTGTGCTTGTGTCTGTTAATTCTTGCCTTCAGAAAATGATCAAGTTGAGAAAATAAGAGATTTCCAAATGTTAACTTAACATTTTTTCTTTCTTTAAATTGTTCACATTAAGGAGAGTGATTGGCTGTTTTTAAAATCCCACTGTGATGCTTATTTTCTTGATATCAGTTTTTCTTCACTTTTCTCTAATGTTTCTTCTGTATGAATTTCTGTAGAAGATTGCTCGACACTGAAGATGAGCTCAGTGACATTCAGACTGACTCGGTCCCATCGGAAGTCCGCGACTGGTTGGCTTCTACCTTTACACGGAAAATGGGGATGACAAAAAAGAAGCCAGAGGAAAAACCTAAATTCCGAAGCATTGTGCATGCTGTCCAGGCAGGAATTTTCGTGGAAAGGTAGGTAAATTTGTTGGTATCTGCAGACAACAAAATCCAAAAGGCAGCAAATATATTCATTATATCAAAGTTATGAGAGGCCTCTATTTTACTCATGGAAGAAAACTACAGACATAAATATAACTAGAATGAACAGATTTAGAACTTTATGATAAATTGACCTATAACAAAAAAATACCTTATCCTGAGTGTATTATTTTTATTTATGTTAAGCTGACATGAAGACTGAAAGCAAAAGCAGTTTTTGAATGACAGGTCTCAAATGAATGGTTATGAATAACTGTTTCAAAAGAGCGCTAACACATTCATATGTTATACAACTAATTTTACCTGAATAAAATGTAATATTAATAAAATTAACTCTACAATGGCCAAGTCAAGCAGGTGTTTCTCTGCCCTAAAGATCTTTTCTTCATGGTAGGAACTCTCATTTTTATCTTTGAAAAGATTATTTATTTTATATTTCTGTTACTGGAGCAAGAGATATCCAATGGCTCCTAGAGCATGGAATCAAATCACTAGCATTTCCAATGTGAAACATATTGTTAATATGACCCAATTCTACATTCTTTTAACTTTTAAAAGCACAATTTATTTTTCTTTCTAGGAAACAAGATATTTCATAACTAAAACTACAAATAATACCCAAAATAAATATCCCTGACAAAGTTGAAAAGTAGTTATCAAAAATCTCTTAGATTAAAAAATTGTTATATATAAAAATTATTTAAAATTTTATAAAACTTCTTTTAAAGAAAATGAGAAACAGATTTTTTTCAAGATGTGCTTCAAATTTAAAGGAGACTACAGTGTTTTTCTGTTGATATTTGTGGCCATTATTTCCAATAAACTTTACAAACTTTAACTTTACTCTGCTCAGGAACAATGGGATGGACACTTAGGTTTTTAAAAATGTAAATAAGAATGCACTACATGAAAAATACTATGCAATTTAAAGATGTATTATTACCATAGCACATGAAGCTTCTAATACTCTGTAATGTGGCTATATTATCCAAAATAACATCTTCTGAGTGATTATTCAAATTACTTTTCAAATGTAACTGTATCAAATTGGCTTATATAAAAGAACTCTACAAATAGTGTGACTAGTTTGGTGATCTGACGCACCCTCCTTGGTGCATGAACTTCTTCCAATTCTGCCCCTGGGACCAGATATCTGAGGTAAGGAGGTGGGGCTGAGGAGAGAGAATGTCTCTAACCATATTCCTATTTTTTTAAAACAACATAAGTGTTAAGGTTATTTCCCATAGCACCAAATTAAAAATATCTACAGCATATTTTAAAAAGTCAGTGAGAGAATCACAAATAAAAGAGCATGTCTGATTTGCTGAAGGAATATATATTTTGTCTCGTTCATTTGAGGAAATATTGCAGAACTAGGCAAACCAAAGAGAAATACAAACTCTGCATGAAAATCAAGCAAATTTGCATTTCCACTCAAGGTTAAGAAAAATTTGATAAAATGTATTGACGTGCCAAATCTCCACTGTTTTCATATACTACTCAAAACAAATTTTATTTAATATGCTATAGTAATATAAAAATATGCCCAAAGTAACTAGTAAGCAAGCTTAAAATTAATATCCTTACAGCATTTAGAGATGAAATTATTTTATCACTGTTGAATCTCCATTAGTGACATGCTTGTCTTGAATTTTCAAAAACAATGATCTCCAATCTTGAAAATTAAAAGGCTTCTGGAAGCTTTGTTGCTTCCTTTCCTGGTGCTTCCCTCTCAAGATTCAGTACTTTAGCAAGGCCCGTCAATTCACCTGAATGTGCCCTTAAACTACTACTTACTTCCTGGGCCCCTAATCTAGGCCTCTGTTATCTGACAGCAGAAGTGTAGCAATAACTTTCTCACTGGCTCACCCTTCCCTCACTTCTCTCCACACACCATTCACAACGATCTTGTAACTTGATAAATTAGCTCCTGTCACCCTTAAAGTTAAAGCCATCTGACGGCTTTCTGTTTCACTTGGTAACTAGGCCTTGCCTATCCAGGCCCCTCTTACTTTCTAGCAATCCTTACCTGATCATCAGTGCCAGCCTACTTTCAATTCCAAGAACATCTCTATAGTTTTTCCTGTCTTGGAGCCATTAATCCTTACATTCTTTCTGTCAGAAATGATTCTTCCCACCGTCAACATTGGCAGGCCCTTCCTGTCATTCCAGAGGCCTTCCTCAATCACTCTGAATATTCTAGTCATTGCTTCAACCAGTAATTCACCTCTGAAATATCACCCCTTGGAATAATGTTATAAATCTTTTATCACTTCACATTAAAATAAACCATGCAGAGTATGTTTTCCTTGCTCTCCACTAAATAATCTGTTCCCTAGTACAGTGCCTGGCATGAGGTAGCAGGGCTTTCCTAAGGTTTATAAATTATGTTTTGTAATTAGAGTGAAAACTTCCAAAAATACTCCACCATATTTTCACTACTTACTTGTAGGTTCCTAAGAAATTCATTATTATTTTTCAGAAACTTTTTTCATATATCACTATTTATGGAAGTAAGTGGGCAACTAGATGAAAGGTTTCTCCCATACTTCCAATGCCAGGGAAATCATCTTCATTTCCATCTAATTTTCTATTTCTAATTTTTCATCCTAGAATTCTATTCCTAATTATAGGATTAGAAAAGTATGATAATGGAGAAACTTCTCTAATAGGACAATATTTTTGTCTTTATGCTCCATATAAGATAAAGTACATAGATTATCAACCTACTTCCAGACTGAGAAACTCACTAAGATTTTCCCTTGACCCCAGGGAACCCTGAAACAAATGTGAGATGTGGAACCAAGGGAATTGGCTTGCAGAGCAATGAGAAGGCCACTGTGAAAGTCATAATAGCTTTCGTGTATTATTTTTTTGTTTATGCTAGCCATGTATATCCTTTGCTTCTCACAAAAGCTAAAAATTCTCATTTTACAAATGAATGACATTAAATAGTGTCCCAAAGGTCACACAGCATGTGCCTGACTTGTGATTCAAAGCATGTACTCACAATCTCTTCTGTAACATGAAATCAAACTGATTTAATATTAACGTTTTAATAATTCTTGTTCCTTATTGATTTTTATATTGAGCTATTCCCTCTTCACTAGTCTTTCAGTTCCCCTGAATCACCATTTTTTGTAATAAGGACTAGAAAAATAAGTGGAAAAGACTATTTGTTCCCCATAACTCCTACCACTAAATGTCCATATTGACAGTAATCATTTTCTCCATCTTTCTTGGTGTGATTACTACTTTTGTTCTCTGCAGGATTAGAATAATTATACATATCTTAATGGAGTAATGAATATAAGTGCTTTTATTTATAAACTTATCTGAAATCTTCCAGTGAAGATCTAGGATAAGTTTTTGTTTTGCCTGGTCACTTGCTTCCAAAAATAATTACAGTCATTTTAAAATAAACATAAAATTGAAGCAGGAAAGTAAGTAACAATGTCTTTGGGATCAAATAAGAAGTCAGGTAAGTTTAGGCTAGAAGTATAAGTAAACACAATATTGTAATTTTGAACTTCCAAGAATTCAAGATTTACAAAGAAAACATGAGTTACGTATTTCTCATTGTCTTTTAAAAAATGATAGCGTTTACATAGAAATTGAATATATGTCTCATGGATTTTTAATATATTGATTCAAAAGGTTAATGTCTTCCACAGTGATTTTATAAAATATGAAGAATATTTTCCACATAACTTTCCTCTATTGAGCATGCTTATTATTGCATTTAATTAAATTATGGCATCACCTTGACATCTGGGGGAATCAATTACAGTCCGATAGTCTAGGAATACAATTTGTTGAACACTAGCTTGATATAAAAATTAAGGTACATGATTATCAATTGATATTCCTTCCCAGGACTGTGTGGAAGATTCATGGGTATCCTTCATGGTCTCAAATAGAAGTCAGTTACTATTTCTGCACACTCGGGCAGCTTTGAATTTGGTGCACATATAAATGCATGAAGGGCTTCTTATATTTGGTTTGTGTCCTTTTGACTTCCCATCAGAAAAATGGAAAAAATCAAATCATTTGCAAATTATTGATTAAAAATTTTTTGTTACTGATTAATGTGGAAATGGAGAGAACTTTGCTTACTTTCTGAACAATCTTTCTTAAATAATACTGGCTGACAAGCTGAACAAACTGAAGTAATTTCTGTCAGTATAATCTCTCCCAGTATTCTTAACAACAATAATGAAGCTGTATAAATACTGATGATGTTACATATACTCTCCTATAATTTCCACTTTGTAAGAAATAGAAATGAAAATCTGTAGAGAAAATATTTTCATGACATTCAACTTCCAGTCTAAAAATTTTGGCACATAAAGGAATGTAGAAGATCCTGCTCTGAAGGACTTGATGACATGTGAGAAAGTACAATCACTCTTTCAACTAGATGAAATTTAGGGGAAGATATCCTTACCTGGAAACTAAAATCAAATTAACTTGATAAGGTGGTTGTAAGCATCTGTAAGCATCTGTTACTTTTTAGACAGAAAAATGGTAGCTGTGGTTATCATTGTTGTCATGAAAGGAATGATAAAAAAGCAAACAAGTCAAGAATAATCTTTTCTCTTATAGTTAAGAAATAGCTGAAAACTTTGAGCAAATGAATTTTATGTTTATACTTAATTTTGTTTTTTTTCAGGATGTACAGAAAAAGCTATCACATGGTTGGTTTGGCATATCCAGCAGCTGTCATAGTAACATTAAAGGTGAAATGGTCTCAATTATTTTCATTTACAAAAGTTGTTTTTAAAAATCTACTGAAAGTGCCTGGGGAAAAAATGAGAGCAGTTCTTTGCTGCAGCCTATATGTTGGAATGTAAAAGCTGTTTTAACCATTTACAAAGTACAAAGTATGACTGAAAATTATAGTGATTAATTTTTAAAAAAATGTATTTTAATAAAAGACACATTGCCATTGACTCCCCTCAAAATACTCCTTGCTTCAAACACACTAATCCCGTCATTCTGTTGGGGAAAATAACTCTGAACTGTTAGATGTCAGATATGCCAACTTTGTGGTCTCAAAGCATTGGGGACTATAGTTTCAAACAAAGGAGGAAGTGAGGAGAGTTTTATTGAAAATAAGGAGAAGAGGGCCAGGGATTTAGCTCAGTGGTTCCACTGCCTGCCTCGCAAACGCAAGGACCTGAGTTCGATCCCCAGTACCAAAAAAAAAAAAAAAAAAGAAGCAAGAAAATGAGAAGAACATGGCCACCAAGGCTCTTTGTCAGGGTAATTTATACAGTAAGATCACAACTTGTGTACAATATGGGTCAAACTACAATCATGCTATAGGATAACAAGAATAGTTGCTAGCTAATATTGATCTAATGGGGAAACAAATCACATTGCAAGGGTACTTGGAAAGAACAAGGGCATTCTTGGAAGGGGATGGATCCACATGTTCTGGTTGCCAACCTGTCTGTCTGATGCCTACCAAGGCTCACTGGACCAGGTGGCATTAATTACAGTATAATCTCAAGTTGCTGCTTATCTCAGGGGAGGCCTGCAGGCCTGGCTATTGCATTTCCCTCTGGAGCCCAGGTTCTCTTCAGATTCACCTCCAGCCACAGATTTTGTGTCTCACCTTTGTTGACTTCCTCGAGGGCCCAATCCCTCTCTGACTGCATATTAATTTCTAACTGAGCTGTCTGTAATAATTTTTGCCACTTTCTGAAACAGTTCTGATAGTCTTCTTTCATGAGTGGTTGTGATATTCTGGTTGCCTTGATATCTTGATATCTTGAATCAATTAAAAATGTTTCCTTTTTATGATCATTTTTTGACTTTAGGGAACAGCAAGAAGTAGCATGATGACAGATCTGGTGAATAAGGTAGATGAGGATGCACTGTAATTTTTTTTTACCTGCCTGTCTTCCCATGGGATGGCAATCAACAGCAGCATTCTCTGTGTTTTCACACCTCATAAAGACACTCACAAAGGAGGACTTCTAGAACTGCTTCGGAAAGTGGCAAGAATGTTTGAAGCAAGAGGGTGTGTTTGAAGGGGGATTAATGGTGGTATGTCTTTTACTGTAACAATTTTTTAATTTAAACATTCACCATAGGTGATGATTACACCTCCTACAAGGTGTTCCAAACTCTGTAGACTTACACGAGGATTCATTTCCACTAACAAACTGTATCAGTGGATACATACACACATTTGTGTGTGTGCATGTGTGTGTGGTTTGCTTCTTCATGCTTGCAGGGAATCTTGAATTCTGTTTTAAGGTGGCACCAGCACTTGTCAGAATATACATACAGTATTTTGTTTTATGTGCACTAGGATTAGGGAAGAGTTAAATGCATTGTGAGAAGATGCTGAGGTAAGTTATGTTTGTATGACAAAACTTCAATATTATAAAATTATTTAAATTCTTAGATATGAGAAAATACTAAGTATAAAATTATGGAGAAAAAAGAAATTTGTCTCTCTTATGTCTGACTTCTTGACACTTCCCTAACCTGAGGTGCAGTTGTAGAATTATAGGAATAAATAACTGAATCAATGCTCTGAAATTAGGAAATTTGGGGCTCTCGTGTCTATTTCTTGTGTATGGACATATCCACATTTGTCCTGGTGTTATTTCTACAGAAGCAATTTTTGGGCTTGCCCTCTAAATTTCTTATTTCTTTCCATCTCTTAATTTGGTTGGGGGAATTCAACTTTCTCTCCTGAGAAAACATTGTGGTAGTTATCCTGTATTATCCTAGAATTTAAAAGATACAGGCAACAAACAGATAACCTTAGACTTTCATTTCTGATTCTTCTATTTTCCTATTTTAAATTTGCATTGGATATTTGTGTGTTTTAATTTCCTTTTAAACATCTTCTTTACATTTGGCTTTTCTAGGGTAGGGAATGTAGCCCAGCGGCACAGTGCCTGCCCAGCAAGGATGGGGCTCTGAGTTTGATTCCCAATATCAAAAAAACAAAAAACAAAACATTTGACTTTTCTCTGTGGGATATTAAGTTTAAATCTCATTAACTTAAAAAGGTGTTCATTTTCTTGTTAGCTTCTTTATAGATTTTTTAAATTATGATAAAAATATAACTAAAATGTCACACTAGAAAATATTAATTACTCCTGTATTCTTGAGACATTTTGCCTTTCCTATTATTTCCTCAACTATATTCAAGGAAATTACTTACTTTTATATTATTCATTTTTAAAACTTTTGTTTAAGAACCAACTAGAAGCCAGGTGTGGTTGCTCATGCCTGTAGTCCCAGGGATGGGACTCTGGGAGGCTGAGACAGGAGAATTACAAATTCAAGCCCAACCTGGGAAAATTAGCAAGACCCTACCTCAAAAAAAGAAAATAAAAAGTAAAAACAGCTGGGGATCTAGCCCTGTGTTCAATTCCCAGTGTGGCAAAACAAAATGACAAAAAATTTAAAATCATTTTCATGAAAAAGAAAGTAATTTTCTAAAATGCTATTTCATGAAAGCACACAAAATAAGAAGCTGAGGGAGGAAATCTCACCAGTGAAGAATATTTCAGTTAAATAACATTTTTTCCGAGAAAACCCCTTGCCTTGAGCTCAGTCTAACAGCACAGAGTCCACACATGTAAATCATTGCTTCTTATGAACCCCCCTGAGAAATGGAGAGCTAAGCCCTCACTCTGTGGGAATCCCCAGCTGAAACTGTAAACAGCAGGCTTGGAAGTTTGTTCCTGCTCTTCCCTGTTGGCTTTGGAATTTGATAAAAGATTTGTTGGCCTCCTTAGAGCTTTCCTCATGGTAAAAATCCTTTAAACTAAACCTCTAGAAAAGATTTTCAATTTATGCAGAGATCAAGCAAGTGTTTGGGGATCAAATTAGAGGCAAATAGAAGGAATTTCATAATGGCATAGAAGTAAACCAAAACATATTTCATTGGTGTTTGCTTCCAAGTGACTGAAAGTACCATTTGAGGCTGTTATTATTTTTCAAGGGAAATGTTTTTAAAAGAAATGGTTGGAATATTTTTATGAGAACTTCAGTTGAATTTTACTGTTACAGCACATTTAGCTGGCTTTCATAAGAATGTTAAAAAGACAATTGAGGTTTGGCATGGTGGCCAAGTCCTGTGGGAGGCCAAGGCAGGAGGACTGCAAATTTGAGCTCAGCCTGGACAATTTAGCAACTTAACAATACTTTGTCTCAAAAAATTAAAAGAAGGGTCTGGGGATGTAATGGTGTAAAGTGTAAAGGACCTGGATTTAATCCCCAGTATGGGTAGGGAGGTGGGGAGATGTACATGAAACTAACAGTGCCCATTTAAGTGCAAAATTGATACATAACTTTAAGGCTGTCTGCTTATATTGTCCAGTATTAAAGCCGCTGCACGTATGTAATTGCTGGGCCTTCTTTGCTGACAGATCCTGAGCATCTTTACATCGGAATACTGTGCTGCAGGGTGTTTTTAAATGCAAAATTACGAAGTGGTTGGATATCCCTGCTTCCTGCTCTCTCTGCCACTGTAAGGGGTACCTTCCCAGAGTACTTGTTCCCTACAGCTCTGCTTGCTTCCCTACAACACCGCAGGAAATGGCAAAATTATTACCCTCCTTCCTCAAGAGAAGGACCCATTTCCTTCTACCTGGCAATGATAAGATAGTACATATTCTATCTCTGTCTAGTATTTGTATCCCAGGAAAGGACAGACTATATCAAAGCTGTAAGCCAAAGGACTAACTCATGCTGAAATTCCGAGCCACCCCTAGAGTGGGTTGTGTGGGCCATGGTCCTTTCATCCTTCAATCGACATCAGCCATATCACCAGCAAGTCTACCTCAAAGTCGGTGCATTCTGGGAAGATGACTTGTGGCAGGAAGTTGGAGAGAGAGTAAAGATAAAGGCAGTGTTGCCATATGGTCAGGGTTATTACATGAGTGTAAGAACACTGATAGAAAGGGGAAGATCTTGGAGCTTACTCAACATGAAGGCCTCACTTTTGTGACCCTATCAGTCTTTGGTAAAATGTTGCTCAACATTCTTCAGTGAAATACGATCTGCTGAATGTACAAAACCTAATTTTTCAAATAATTTTCCATAAAAGGCTTCAGCAATTAAACGATATTGCCATCTAATGTGTTTACCTTTTTTTTTCTACAGGATGTTGATAAATGGTCTTTTGATGTATTTTCCCTAAATGAAGCAAGTGGCGAACATAGTCTGAAGTTTATGATTTATGAACTGTTTACCAGATATGATCTTATGAACCGCTTCAAGGTCAGAAATGTGGAATGAAAATGAAATGCTCTTGGAATTAGTTATTTGAATAAGAATGAAAATGTAGGACATTGAGCATTTATCGATACATTTTAGAATGTTTCTAGTTAGCAGGTCACAGAAGTAGGGGCTGAGGTCACCATGTGATGGAACCATTCTCTGTAACACACTGACCTATCTGTGTACTCACCTACAGGTGGTGGGGCCAGGATATAACAAAATACTAACATCACCTGAACTATTCACAGAACACTCCTGTAGGGATTGGAGGCAATGACTTAAAGTAATATGATAGATCTCCATTCTTCTTAAAAAGTAGAAATAACTTATATTGGCAGGTTTTCTTAAATGAAATTATAGGCCTTTCAATTAATTTCATTTGGAGCCATCTAAGCAACAGACTTGACCCAGGCTTTTGAGCAGTCTGGAGCTTGTAATTTCCATCATTTCCTGTAGAATCATGGTATTATTACAGCTAGAAAGGACTGGGAGGGTGTCCATTTTATCCCATTTGTATTACAGATAGGAAAACTGGACTCCACCAATTATAATTGGAAATTTTTACCCTTTTAAGAATAAGCCCTCTTACCTGACTCTAGAAGATATAAAAATTTAAAGCTTTTATTTCATCTGAGTTAAATACTTGGGGATTGCAATACTTCTCAGGATTGAAAGCTAACAGATTGGTGACATGATTTTTAAGAACAATCCACATTCAATTTAAAGAAATTACTGTTCACATCTGACTGCCTAATGTGTCCCATCTCAAATGCCATACTTGTGTTGATGTGGTGACACTCTTTTGGCCCAAATATAATTATAATTATTTCCCACAGATTCCTGTTTCTTGCCTAATTGCCTTTGCAGAAGCTTTAGAAGTTGGTTACAGCAAGTACAAGAATCCGTATCACAATTTGATTCATGCAGCTGATGTCACACAAACTGTGCATTACATAATGCTCCACACGGGTATCATGGTAAGAAAGCCTTTGTGACTGAAGTTAGTTAGTTTGGAAACATCAAATTCTATTCCTCTATGCTCCTATTGTCTCTTTAATGTCCATAGAAATATTATAAGTAATGATCTTTTGGATTTTGAAGGTTATTATATGTGTTTTCTCAAAAAGTATTTTAACTTAGTGGAAAAAAATACCTAGACAAATCTTAGTCACCTTCTCATCACCAGGATCTACTACCCAATGCACATAACTGAAAGGACAAGAGGTTTATCTTGGCTAATGGTTTCAGTCCACTGTGAGCAGGATCAGATACTGAAATGGCATGGTGGAAGGGCCTGCCTTAGAGAAAAGCTGCCCTTGTCATTGTGGCCAGGAAACTGATGGGGAGGGGAGGAGTCAGGGAGGAAGGTGTCCTGGTCCAGGTCACACCCCCAGTGACCACCTCCAGCTATACCCCACATCCTGACAGTACACTTAGCTACGGAACTCCTTAGTGGATGACTGTACTGATGAGTATAGAATGGATCCCCATGATCCATTCACATTCCAGATACATGAGGCTTTTGGGGAACACCTCAAATCTAAACCATAACAAGAAATAAACAAAAATATATTCTGTTCCAAAATTTGAACTATAGAATGTTTTATTAGTGTAAATTTTCTTTCTCATGGGAATCAACAGGAGGGAAAAAGGTTACCCAGAGAAAAAGTCTTCAGAATGAAAGTTGTAGTGCTCTTCCCTCTCCCATCATTTTCTCCTAAACTCATCTTAGGAGCTTTCTTTCTTACTTGGATTGTGAATCACAATTGAGTCCTAATGGAATTTGGGGAAATTATTCTTGTGAATTCATCCAAATGCTCTTTCTTCTTCTTTGCATCTGAATGAATCAGTTGCTGTGTCTTAGAACTCAGGATGATTCTCAGAAGGTGAAAAGGAAGGAGCAGCTTTTTCTTCTGAAGGTGCCAAACTGAGGTCCCTTCAAAGGGGTAGACACCCTGTGCAACCCCCAAATCTTAGTGTCCTCCTGATTCCTCCTGTGCCATTCTGGGCTGGGGTGAGGCATGGCCATGAAATACCTTCAAATGAAGTCTTTACCAAACTCTGTAAATCACATTGCCTGACTTCTCAGATTTCAGAAGCCAACACCTTTCTATTGGTGATTGGGACTTAGATCTATGTAGCTTGTACTCTGGGGGGCCCGAGATCATTACCTCAGCATTCTGCAGCAGAGACTGTATTCCTAACCTGCTTCTAAGCAAATCCCTTTGGGCCTTAGTGTAGTGTTCTAGAGATCCAGAAATCACATAATAGGTACACAATTCTCTGAGATTAGCATATACCAAAAAAATTATTGTCTGCCTGTCATTTTCCCCCAAGAAACCAGCTGTGTTGCTTAGTACACACAACACCCATTTCCTAGGATTTATCCATAGGATCTATCCAGTGTCTCATGTGGTAACCAAGGAAACTGTCTAGTCCTCATTTTTCTTAATCTCCTAAATTTTGCACATCCTTGAATGCCTTGAACTCGGATCCCACTTCTGCTCCAAGTTCCAATTCATCTATTCAAGAAAAAAGAAAAAAATCCAAGTGTGATGGTGCACACTTGTAATCCCAACACTTAGAGCGGCTGAGGCACTAGGATTGAAAGTTCAAGTCCCACGTGTTGAGACCCTGTCTCAAAGTAAAAATAAAATTAAAAAATAAATAAAATGGCTGGGGATGTACTTTAGTGGTAGAGCACTCCAGAGTTTAATCCCTAGTACCAGAAAAATCATTTATTTGTTATTGTCTTTCAAGAGGTTGTGATTAGAAGAGTTCCAACCAGAAGACTCTCATTTGGGGCCTCTCCAGCTATGAGCAAAGGGCAGAGCTATCGGAGGAGGATCCCTGTGGTCATGTGTCCAGGGTGGTTCACTCATGTGGCTGGCAGTTGATACAGCTAATGTTTGGGAGCCAAGCTGGGAGTTTAAGGAATTTTTTGGAATTTCACCACAGCTCCATAGAAATATGCAGCCTATGACAAAATTATGAAACAGTCTTTTTAAAAAGCTATCCAAAGTAGTACATTTAAGCTCCTTTACATGTATCTAATGTGCCTGCATGTGCGCTTGCATACACAGAAATTGTTTGCAGCATTTTGGGGTTTAATAAGGCTTCATTGTCTCAGCTGATTCTTAAATCCCTTTCACTTCGTTTGAGTGGTGTATTCGTGTGAAAACCAAGGGCCTGCTGACAACTGCAAAGGCTGTCACACCTGGGCAGCTGCTTCAGTATCTTCCTACTTAGAGCCGCTTGCTTTTTGTCTTCTAAAGCCTTTGTCTTGAATCAGAGATGGTGAGGTGATTTTTACTTTAAGTTTTTGGCGTTTCCATTCTCTTGAGTTCTATGGCTTTGAAAAAGTTAACTAAAAATTGTATATTTGAATTCTACTCTGCAATAGAAACTGAATTTGATTAGGTTCCCTGAGAGCAAGATGAAGCAGAAAACCAATGCCTACTTCAGTATAATAAAATATCTGCTTAATTATAAAGTGAGATGAGAAAATATATGTCTCTTCAGGCAAGGAGGCAACCAGAATTTCATCTTAAAATGTTTCTCAAGTACATTTTTTTGGTTTTGTTTGTAACAAGTGTAAAGGCAGTCAAATAAAAATCTCCTTCAGCTTCAGAACCTCTGATCTGAAGGTGACATTGAAAAGATGAGGGCTGTCATACTTGTGAGTAAATAGAGAGATGCAGATCCACATTGTGATTTTACCCTCAGATTAATAATGAAGACTTGGTGTGGGACATAGTTAGCAATTCCATCTTCATGGGAGACGGCAGTGGGGGGATCTCATGCAGCCAGGCACAGTTCCAAGAGAGTTGAAGTCATTAGAGATCAGAGCCACTCTGTGAGGAAGCTTATCAAATATAAATGTACCGTCCTCTACTTCCGCAGGATTGGCCTGGAAACATGTTTCTGATTTTATTCATTCTTTTGCAAAAATGTATCAGTGGGCTCTTTCCTCACCCATTAGTTTGGTGGTTAATAAAATAGTCCGGCTGTAGACCTTTAGTCTTGTCTAAGACCAGAAAAATGCATTTAAACTAAGGAGAATAATGACAGTTTTTACAACGATGGTAAAAGGCCAGGTGAACAAATTCACTGATGTGTTGACTATTTTGTCAAACCTAGGCTATACTCCCAGCTTGACAGTTTGGTGAAATTTATTTTAACAAGCTTTTTTAATAGATGAAAAGGTGGTTGATGGTGAATATTAATCTCCATACATATAAATGTGCTGGTTCTTTGAACCAAAAAAGCATCACAGAAATATTCATTTAGCTAGAGCTCTTCAGTCTTTTCTCATCCATTAGATTTGGTATGTAGACATGGTTACTTCATTTAGTGTTTGGGTTGATGCTCTGCTATTTCAGGATGGCCTTATCAGCATGACATTTATGGAGCACTCTGGTAGCAGCCTGGCACTGTCAGGTGACTAATGCATCTTGTCACCTGCAAGATGTTCTGAGAACTGTTGCTGGAAAGGGACAGTGGAGAACCTTTGTCCCTGTTTGTAATGTCATGAGAGACACCCTTAAGCCTGAAAGCAGTGCAGAGAGGACGACACTGGTACAGTTACTGGCCTCCTCCTTTCTCCTTTTGTCACTTAACTTGTACCCCTGCACCAGGATGACAGTGATGTGCAGAAACAATCCATTTGCTAAAGAGCCACTGTTCTGCGGAGTGCTGCCAGGGCAGGCCACCTCCACCTGTCTCTTTAAATATGAAGTCATTTCCTGGCCTTGGCCAGAGGACTTGCACTTCAGGACTCTTGGGAGCTTGTTCTACTATATATATATATATATATATATATATATATATAGAGAGAGAGAGAGAGAGAGAGAGAGAGAGAGAGAGAGAGAGAGAGAGAGAAAGCTTGAGATGTATTTCCAAAACTTGTAGTCCACTATGCCCAGGAGCAGTCTCCCACACTCACAATGACTCAGTTTTTCTCTGATCAATCTACAAAAACATGTGGCACTATGTCTTTATTCCACAAACTATATGGAAATTTTTTCTTATAAATGGTTTCTCATATGACACTATTTAGAAGAGTAAAAAGAAAAGCCTAGTCTTAGGGTACATAGTTTTGAAACCATTCTCTGTCACTTCCTGACTCACTATGTCTCTACCTTGGTTCCCTTGTTACTAAAATATAATTAATACAACCTTATAAAAAAGAAGGTAGTGAGGAGTCATTAAACCTTACCTGTAAAGCACCCAACCTAGTATCTGAAATAAATAGCTTTTAACACACATCCTGCTACTAATTATTAGTATACACCAGCTTTCTATACTGGTGAATTATGATGAACTATCTCAGCCTATTCAAAATGACAGAGAAAAAAGTATCTAACCCCATAACATGCACCTAGAGACATTCAGATATGAAAATTATGTCTTAGGTTAAACCCCACTTAGTTTTTATCCATTCATATATGCAGTTAATTTAGAAATTCGGCTTTTGAAACCTTAGAAGAATATGTTCAGTATGTTGCCTCCCTTGAGTCATGAATGTTATTGTGACCCACAGAAGGAACAGAAATTTTGGAATAAATTTTAGATTGGATTCCTGCTCTGTCATTAGATGGCTTTGTGGCCTTTAGCATGTTGGTACTCTTCTTTAGGATTCATTTTTGTGGCCGGAACATGAAAAATATTTACCTAGAGTGTTAGGCAGCTTGTTGTTGTTGGGATAAAGTACCTGACTGTATTGTGGCTCAGAGTTTCAGAGTTTCAGTCCATGGTCAGGTGGCTGCAAGGGAGAAACATCATGGCCGAAGGATGTGGTGGCAGAAAGAAGCTTGGCCACAGCAGCCAGTAAACAGACAGGGCAAATGGCCCAGAAAGGAAGGGTCCGTGAGCATGATGCACCCCAAAGACCTCCCCACCTACTTCCTCCAACCAGGCCTGACCTCCAAACAGCACAGTCAGCTCCCAACTCATCAACGGGTGGGTCCCCTGGCAAGGTTAGCATCCCCTTCCAAAAGCCCCAGTTCTAAAACTATGAGCATTTGGGAGTTTTTGATCTCTGAACCATAACATCTAACTGAATGGTAAATGGGACAATCGTAAGAATTAAATGAGACCATCTAACTAAAGTGTCCAGTAAATGTTTGATCCTTCTCCTTCCTTTGTCTGGTCATAATTCATGCTGTTAGCAGCAGTCAACACCTCCTTGTGACTCACTTTGAGGACCACCTCTGGTAGAGTAAACCACCTCAGCATTTCTCTAGGCAAAAAGCAACCTGCAGTTTAGTGGAAGCACTAAGTCTAAATTGAGCATGGCTCATTATTTTAAACCTTTATTTCTGCCCACCAGGAATCAGAAGAACCTGCTTGTGCAGGCTCACATTCTCTAGCTTGTCATCAGGAATTATTTATAAAATTCATGAATTTAAGCATCTGTTTTCTCAGGTAGAAGTCTCATCTGACTTAAGCATGAGTCAGCAACTTAGGAGATGATGATCAGTCCCATGTTCTACTTTCAATAACATAAAAACTCTATTTCGATCATTTTTGATTAGGTGTTTTTCAGCTGTTTTCAATAAGTGTGAAAGTTTTGCACTTCTTGCTTCCCAAACTATTTTGTACTATAAACTTAATCATTAAGATTATAGTATGGCAATAAATAAGTGAAGTTCACAGAAAAAGTTCTATTTATAGGAGGCAGAAGTTAATTAGAAATAAAACAGGAAATACATTTCTAATCATTTTGACAGCTAGGAAGGTAATAATTTTGAGTAATTATGAGCTAATCTATAATTAAATTTCATCTCTGATTTCTCCTTTAAATTTTTATTTTCACAGCTTCATAGTACTACCATAGTAGATATTAAATGTTGCTTTCTTTTAAAACAGTCAAATCAGTCAATAAATATAACCAATAAGAAATATTTTTAAGAAAATAGGTGATTTTTTTAAAGAAACAATTTTCTTTAATAAAACAATTGGTTCAGGGGTATAGAAACTGGTTTAACACAATTGCTATTTATTTCATCCTGTTTAATTCCATTGTCTCAATGGGGAGCATTGGGTACACAGTCCTGGTCCAGCCTACAACACAGGCCATTGATAAGCTCACTTTCTTCCTTTTAATAACTCACTGTTAAAAGCATCTATAAACATGGAAGAGCAAGTTATATCAAGGCTCTTTCATCCTGAAAATCATTTCCACTGCAGTCACCCAGCAGCGAGGCACTTATACTTGATTTACAAACAGTTAAGATATGTTAGCTCTTATTTTCCAGATTTAATGCCTTAAGCAAAGTAAAGTTCAGTAAAAATACTGCATATTCTATGGGTTACTCTATGATAAGGCTTTGGATAGGCATAGCTCATATATTAACTCTAAATTTCATTTAGAACCCACAGAGGAATGATCACTAATCGCACAGCAATGGGAACCATAGCTGAAAGGGTAAATATCTTAATTTCTTGAGGATCAACAGAAATTTAAAACCAGGATTGTCTGATTCCACAGTTTCTCTCTACTGTTTCCTACCACCTCCTTCTCATGTAAAACTTGAGAAATTCAGTTCAGCAAGCAAATATTAAGTTCCTGCTATGTGTTGAGTACAGTTGGTTCTATGAAGGGGGCAGTGATTAATAAGAGAGCTGTCACCTCCTTCATTTTTGACTGATGGGCCTTCAGGGGCTCTTGCCTTTATAACCAATCCAAATTCTTAAGTTCTAATCAAGGTAGGCCATTGATTCTTCCCCAGATCTCCCCAACCTCATGTCCCTGGAATCTCCAACAAAATTGCACCACTGGCAATTCTATTTCAATACATTACAACCCCTACAGTATCATTCTGTGTTTGCCTTAGTCCCTCTATCCCCAGCCCTGCACTTAACTACTAATCTGTGTTTATCCTTCTTCCAAAACCCACTCCCATCAAATAGCTTTTCTACCTTTGAGACTGCATCTTCATCCTGCGACCTTTTATCAAGTACACATACAGTTTAAGTGATATTTTCCTATTGTCTTGTGTTAGGTCTCTGGTTCTTTCACTGTATGGAATGAGACCACTAAGAGCAAACACCATGTCATTTTGGATCCTGCACTCCTGCTCTTAAGACCATTTCCTTGTAGTGCTGTCTGATAGGACTTTCCATGATGAGGAGAAAGCTATGTACTGTGCTCGTCTCCATGGAAACCCCCTCGCCACAAGTGCATAGTGAGCACATCAGATGTGCCTAGTAAAACTGGAAGAGTGAACTACATTTTACTGCATTTTAGTTATTTTCTGTTTAAATTGTCACATGTGGTTATCATTTCAAACAGTGCACTGAAAGGGTTATGTAGAATGTGGGTGATAAACCTTTGAATTATTGCTAAGTAAATTTATAATAGTAGAGAAATTTTGGTAAGGCATACAGTCATGAACAGAAAGATCAATGCATGTATGAAGTAGATGGGTCTAGGTTTTATGGGGAGGCCATTATTCTTTTCTTTATCATTATTGAATTTAATTGCATATTCCTACATATACTGTAAATAGAAAGTTTGATAAATTCTCAGAAACTCTTCTAAATCTTTAAATACACAAATGAAATTATCTTGTCATAAGCACAGTAAATATTTTCAAATTTTAGGGGGAATGTTTTCTCATAATAGGGTCTTTTACAATGATCTAAAAATACATTTTTATGTTGAACAAACTATATGCTAAAAATCAGTGGACTATAATTGACTTCATAAGAATCCAAACTGGTAAGGCTATGAATTCAAAATTTAATCAGTGTTAATCTTTTAAACCATAGAAAATTACTCCGTTTTCAATTAGTGAGAACAATCACATTTTGAGTTTAAAATTTTGAACTTTCAAGCCATGAAATAATCACTGACCTCATGAAACATCCATTATGCACAATAAATGGAGGTGAAATAGGAAGAAAATTTAAAAGAAATATAACTGTACAAAATTATACATACTGAATCACTGAGAATTTTTTGTACAAGGAAAAGATAGCCACTGCTTTATAAACATGATGGAATCTTCCTTTAATTTGCTAGCACTGGCTCACTGAACTGGAAATTTTAGCAATGGTCTTTGCTGCTGCCATTCATGATTATGAGCATACAGGGACCACAAACAACTTTCATATTCAGACAAGGTAAGTTTGCTCAGTGTTAATATTTATGTTATGTTAAGTTTTAAAATTTATCCTCCTGCGTATTATTCCTAAGAGAAGATTTTTTTAAAAAAATAAATATTTGAATAAGATAGTTTTAGTAGATTTTTAGCGAAAGCCTTGTAGCTATAACCACCTAAATCAATCAGCCATTTTTCATGAAACTTGATATATTTTATGGCACATGTAGCAATGTTAAGGACATAAAATAGGTAGGTCAAACTCTGCCTAGAACTTATATAGTGATCTGTCACACAAGTCAGACATGTATTCACTAAGACAAGTCTTGCAACATATTGTTTCAGGCTTTGATTTCATGCCATCATATATTTGAATGTAATACAATTATACTTTTGAAGAAAAATACTGAAATCAAAGAAATGTAATTCCCAGACCAGTATAAAATACTAAATTCAAATAGTTGAAAAATGAAGATCCCTTTGTGATAGTTACAATGGCAGTTATTTGAATCAGAAAAGTAATGCAGCATATATGTAGTAGTCTGCTAGGGATGCCCTCACAAACTACTACAGACTAGGTAATTTAAACAACCTGTTTATTTTCTCACAGTTCTGGAGGCTGAGAATCTAAAGTGAAAGTGTCAGATACGTTTTTTTTCTGAGGCCCCTATCCCTAACTTGCAGATAGCTACCTTCTTGTTGTGTGCTCACCTGATCTTTTCCCTATACACACAACCCTGATGTCTCCTCTTCTTATAAGGATAATCAGTCATATTGGATTTGGGTCTCACCATTATATTACATCATTTAACTTTAGGCACATCTTTGAGGATTATATTAGTCACATTTTTATCCCTGGGACAAAATACCAGACACCTGCAACTTAAAGAAAACAGGTTTATTTTGGCTCCTGGCTTTCAGTGGATTGGCTGGCTCCAAGGTGGAAATGGAGTAGTAAAAGGGCCTGGTGGTGGAAAGCGACTCAGTCCTTGGAAATCAGAAAACAGAGAGAATGGAAGATCCAGGGACGATAACACACACTTTCAGGTTAAGCTGTGAGTGACACGCTGCAACCAGGCCCCACTTCCTAACAACACATTCATCAGTGGGTTAATTCACTGACGAGTGTAGCACCTCATGATCATTTGCCTTCCAAAAGATCCCACCTCTGAAGGGATATTGTAGATCTAAACCATAACATTCTGCCCCTAGCCCCTAAATGGTTCATGTCTATCTTATTATGCTAAATCCATTTAGTCCATCTTTAAGAGTTGCCAAAGTCATAACAGTTTGAGCATTGCTGAAAAGTTTGAGACTAAAGTCTCTGAGATTCAAGGCAACTGTTAGCTTGAGCCCCTGTGAAAATCAAAAAGAAAGTTAAATACTTCCAACATGGAATGGCACAGGGTAAATATTCCCATTCTAACAAGCAGGAACAGAGGATTGAAAGAAACTGGATCAAAGCAAATTGTGGTGACATGTGAGCTCCAAAGGGCTTGGGCAGCCCTTCCCCAGTGGCCTTACTGGTTTCAGCCCACCTGTCCTCTATCTAGGGCTGACTCTGCTCACTGCCTGCAGCTTTTCTCATCAGACGTTTCTCATTCTTGGCATCTCTAAGTTCCTGGGGTCTCCACTCTACCTTCAAGTCCACTCTTATAGCTTCATACATTGCCCTATCAGGGACACATTGCCTGGCCTCTCAGCCTTTTCTTTAAAATCTGGGTGGAAACCTCTGACTGTAGTGTTCTGTGTGCCTGAAAAAGTAGCACCATGTGGATGACATTGAAGTCTGCCACCAGCTCAGGCAGTAATCTGGCCCTCTTAGGCCATGGCTGCAGTGCCCTCTTAGTGCATGGATGGCTGCATTCTGTGAAAGAGAGCTCTCCTGAGGCTCTCTTCTCTAGGTAAAGTTTCCAAAGTATAGCCTTCTATATCCTTGAGACTTTATTCCTCTGCTAAATCACTCAGTCTACCACTTTTAAATTCTGCTTCAGATAAAGTCTTAGAGGAAGGATAAAATATAGACAAAATTTCTTGCCAGAGTGAAGCTGCATGGCCAGTTTCTGATAGAGTCCTCATTCCCCACTGGAACCTCGTAAGCTTCACCTTTACTGTCCACATTCCTATGAGCATTCTGGTCTTCTGAACTCCAAACAGAATCACCCATTAAGCTCAGGTTACAGCATTCTAATTTCTCTAGCTGGCATCTCCAAATCTTTCCAAACTCCTCTAACAAACCAGATGATCAGGTACAGTCACAGCAACAACCCTACTCCGGCCACCAGTATTCTGTATTTGTCACCTTCCTATCACTGAGACAAAATACTGACACCTGCAATATAAAGAAAAAGTGTTTTATTCTGGTTCCCAGTTTTTAGAGGATTCAGTCCAGGACAGAAATAGCATAGTGGAAGGAAAGAGGAAAGCTGCTCAACCCATAGCATCCAGAAAACAGAGAAAGAGAGAAGCCTCAGGCAAGGATATACCCTTCCAGGTCATGCCCTGAGTGACCCTCCTCCCACAAAGCCCTGCTTCCTAATAGCATGTGCAGGCATGACAAATATTGCTCCCCCACAATCCCATCCAGCCACCTTCCAAAAGGCCTACCTCTGATAAAGGAGATATTAGAAGGACATCTTTATTTAACCTTAGCAAAGTCTTAGTCTTTAAATATAGTCACATCAATGATTAGGACTTCAATATATGAATTTGGGGGAGACAATTCAGTCTATATCAAAAGGCACCCTAATCTTGTCCTAATTAGGCAGACAGACATCGTGCTTGAGAGCTAGAATTCAGTCTGGAACCCATCAGGGTTCAGGTTTTGTTTATAAATTCTTTGGGCTTTGAAAAATATGCAGGGCTATTTATCTGTTGTTGCAGTACCCTAATAATACCTAGTTTCCCTGCCTTAAAAGTTCCTGTGATTCACCTATTCCTCACTCCTGGCAACACTGACCTTTTTAAAGTCTAACTGTCTTTCCTTTTCAAAATGTCATGTAGTTGAAATCATATAGTGGACAGCCTTTTTAGACTGGTTCTTTTATTTACAATTATGTGTTTGTTTCCTTCACCATGTTTTCTTGTGGCTTGATAAGCTCATTCTTTTTGCTAATGAGGAATATTCCACTCATTACCAAATAAACTTGTATACTTCAGTTTATCTGTTCACCTTCTGGAGGAAACCTTAGTTGTTTCCAAATATTGACACTTGTGAAAAAAGCTGAAATAAGTTTACCTATGAAAGTTTTTTTTTTATGTGGTTGATAATTTTGGCTTCCTAATAAACATACTTCTCACAGTTCATTTTCCAGATATAAAGAGCTACTGTTTTGATGTGTGAGGTATGGAAAACATTTATTAAACTATTAGATATTTTAGAATTTGAAGTTACCCCAAGTGACTGAAATCCATATTACAGGTCATTGGTACCAAATCTCAGAGGGTAAGACTTTGAAAAAAAATCTAAGCTCTGCAGAGGTAGGGGACCTCTCTAGATGTACAGTCAGGTGACAGCAGGACCAGCACTAAGCTGAGAAAGAGGGACGCACACTCAGACACAGACACACAGTCGATCCAGTCTTCTGCAGCTAAATGGGATGGGCTTACACATCACGGGCCCTCGATGGAGACAGAAAGAGCTGAAATTCAAACAGTGCACATTGGGGAAGACGTTCTCTCTATTCCTGGAGGGAAGGAATTCCAAGTTTCCCAGAGAGACAAAACGAAAAGAAAAGAAAGGCTTGGAAAAGAAAACTATTTTGCTATAGTCGAACCTGGTGGAACCTGGCTGAATAGCAGGAATATTATTCATCTACGTATATTTACAGAATATAAGGAGTTGTTTTGCTTTTATTTGTGATGACCATCAAAGGAAAAGAAGACGATGTTTAGCATTTTTATTTATCAAGTCTTCTTTACGTGCATGGAATCCATGAGGATTTTAGTTAAAGACAAGTCATTATCAGGCTCTGTACAGGACAACAGTTTTGCTATTTGGAGAAGAAATCAGGTGATTTGTTAACAATGGACTTTTCTTTAAGATGCAGCAGTAGAACATCACTTCTACCTTTCACTTTTTTACTCATCATCCACAATTGAATGAAGAGTCCTAATTTATTTGTGCTTCCATCTGTGGAGAAGGAGATGGGAGAAGAGGATGGCCCAGGAGGAGAAAGATGAAGACAAGGAGAAAGGAGGAATAGGGAAAGGGGGGGAAGAATTAATCTTTCCTGATTTTATATTAAGAAACTATGCATGAAAATAAAAACAAAGTTTTGTATTTTACTTATTTTCTTATAAATTATTGAGCAGGGTCAATTATTTAATGGGTTAATTCTGCACAAATTTGAAAATGAATACAAGCATTGTAATGACAAAAATGTGACAGTGTAATAAGCCTTTTAAGCTCTATTACCGGTATTCACATGTTGTAGAAGGAGAAATAAGGTCACATGTAACTGATATCAATAATTCTATTGTACTTTACATTAGTCAATGTCACTTGGCTTAGAGTGCTTTGCTAATATGGAAACTCATTTACTATCTAATGCAAAATGACTGAAAAGCAATTTAGAACAGGTTGGAGTTGAGTTCCATACAGACATTTTAATGCATACAATCCTTGAAAGTGTAAATAAATGAAAGTAATTCCTCTTTGTGAACAGAAAATTCCGAGCTACATGTTACCATGGATACTGGATGCTGCTTAGAGTCTTGTTCTTTTCTTAGCAGTTAAAGACCATCTCAACCATTAAGACCATCCTGTACTCTTAGCAGCCCCGTTAGACTTGTGAGACAAAACCATACATTTCGCTACAATTGAATCTGATTCAACACATCTTTGCTTATTTCTGAAAGGGAAAGACAGTGATACATAATTGGAATTGCTCTGACATTCCATGGAATTGCTTTGACAAACATGGTGCAGCTAGATTTGGTTCATATGATACAAATACAATTATTGGAAAATCAATTTTCCCATAGTCTCAGCAAATTTTGGAGATTACACATGGCATGGCCTTTTATTTGGGCAAGAGATCTATTTATCCCTTAAACAAGGACTACATGTATAAACTTTCCTAAATCAGTTTTCTCTATATTGAGTTGTAATTAGTGATTAAGGGGTTTTAGGCCTTAACTAAGTAAACTGAAAACAAAATCTACATTGGAGATATGCATGATTAGCTACATACACAGTTTTTCACCTTTATTGTAGTGTTGGAAACAAAAGACAGTAGTAATTATTCTAGTGCCTAATTGATCATTTCTTCTGTTGGATTAATAATAAACCTGGTTTATCTGGTAGACTATCAGTTATGGATCTTGAATAGAATGCTCAAAGTAGATGCCATATTTCTTTAATTTTTTTATAAAAAAATAAATTTCTTTGTATATATACACGTTATATGACATGATATTATGGGATACATAGAGATAATAAAACAGTTGCAAGAGTGAAGCATATTAACATATACATAGCTACCCATTTTGTTCTACTGGTCACTTTTTTTACTTTGTCCTTGCCTACTTTTCAGTAAAAAAATCAGTGGCAAGGGGAGCACTAAGTTATAACGAGTCCTCTACCCATTGTAAACCTGAATCAGGCCCCCACTCCCATGCTAGGGGTTGGACCCAGTGCCTTTGCACTAAGCTACATCTCCAGGTCTTTTTTTGTTTTGAGACAAGGTCTCCCTAAATCACTAAGCTGCTCAGATTGGGCTCAAACTTGAACAATCAATCTTGAGCAAAGCAATTTTATACCTGACAGCAAATGTACTTACCAGGATGAAGGAGTGTGGACAGGCTAGGTGCTAGGCAATGTCCTAACAGTTGTTACAGGTTTGAACTTGATTTTCCTTTTGCTATGAATTTTTGTGGCCTGCTTCCACTTTGTCAAATGGGGTATCATTTTAAGACCTTGACATAGTGGTTCTATTTTCATTCTACACTGTGAAATCTCTGACACCCAGGCGGACAGAGGAGGGAGATGGACAGGCTCCATTATGTCCAACTGAGAATACTTGGAATGCTTCAGACTTTACCCTGGAATATCAACTTTATCAGAGAAACTTGAAGTAGTTTTGTGATCATATTACTTGAAAATAGAGGCAGGTGATAAACAAAAAGCTTCCCTTGATGAGTTCATCATTTTAAAAATAAAATGTCCTGATGGTGAAACATATTTTAAGCTTTGATTAAAAATGATTTTCTTCATTTTCATTTAAAGCAAAAAGATGTATAATTTTCATATTTAATCACAACATGATATAGGAAGTAAAAATTAGAAACACAAATAAAACAAAGATTATCATCATCCCTTCCACTCCCTACCCAAAGTAATTTTAGTCCAAAGGAAGGAGGGTAGTAATCAGCCATTTACACTAAGGGGCTTATTCATCCACTGATTGAATCAGGATTATTTTCTTTTGTCATATCTAGAATATCTCACAGGTATTTGGATTACAAACTGAAAGGAAAAGACATAAACATATTTACTATGGTAGTTAAAAGAAAAATAATCACCATATCCAAGTGGAATTACTCCAGGTATGTAAGCCTGGTTCAGCATTTGAAATGCAATTAATGCAACTCATCACCCTAGCAGCTTAAAGAAGAAAAGTTATATGATCTTGTCAATAGATGCAGAAAAAGCATTTGAGAAAATCTAACACTCAGTAAGCTATGAATAGAGTGAAACTTCCTCCATTTGACAGAGAATACCTCCTAGCATAGAATAATGGCTTCCAGGGAAGGGGGGGGGGATGCAGTTAGGTAGATGTTGATCAAAAGATGTAATATTTCAGGAGTAATTTCAAAGAGATCTGTAGTACAGCATGATGAGTACAGTTAATAACAATGGATTGTGTTATTGAAAATTGCTTAGAAAGTAGATTTTAAATGTTTTCACCATAAAAATAGCTAGGTGCTATGATGTATAATGTTAATTAACTAAATCTAGCCAGCCTACAATGTATACGTATTTCAAAACATCATGTTGTTCACGACAAACATATGCAATTTTATCTGACAATTAAAAATATAAATAAACAAATCAAAAAATATCTACAAACAAACCTACAACTAACATCATATACAATGGTAAGAAACTTGAAACCTTTCTCATTAAGATCAGGAACAGGGCCAGGAGTTTTCCATTCACTATTGACTTTTAACATCATACTGGACATCCTAACTAGTGCAATAAGACAAGAAAAGGAGAAAATGAAATGAAGATTGGGAAAGAAAAAAAATATTTATCTTTGTTTGCAGATGATATGATTGTCTATTTAGAACATCTGAAAGAATTGACAAAACAACATCATCATCATCGATAACAACAAAAAATAAATCCTGAAACTAAACATTTATTACAGCAAGATTGCAGGATACAAGGTTAATAGATAATGGCCCATTCTAAGTCTCTTGCTTTTTTATACACCAGCTATGGAAAAGTGGAATTTTAAGTTGAAAACAGTAGCATTTGCATAAGCACCCTCAAATTGAAATATTAGGTATAAATGTAACAAAATACATAGAAGACCTATATGAGGAAAACTTCAAAACTCTAATGAAAGAAATAATAGGTGACCCATGTTCATGGATAGAATGACTCAATCTTGTCAAGATATTGTTTCCTGTCAACTTGACCTACAGATTTCACAAAATCTTAATTAAAATCTCAGCAAATTACTTTGTGTATATTTTCAGAAAAAGTTTATATGGAGAAGTAAAACACCCAGTATTGCCAACACAATAATAAAGTAAAACAGAGTTGAAAAACAGATACCACATGGCTTAAAGACTAAGTACAAAGTTGCAGAAACCAGACAGTGAGATTTTAGTGAAAGAATAAACAAATTGATAAATGGAATCGAATAGAAAGCCCAGAAATGAACACATAAAAAAATTTAGGCAATAAAAGAGAACAAAGATAATCTTTTCAAAAATAGTACTAGAAAAACTGGGCATCCATGTGGCAAAAAAATCTAGTCACACCTTGTATAGTTTGAATGTGCCTCCAATTCTACAGCCATAACACCCTGAATACACTCAATCTCATCTGAATGTGTCTTCAAGAATTCATGTATTGGAAACTCAATCCCTAATGCAACAGTTGGGAGAGGTGAACATTAATAGGAAGCATTGTAGGTTATAATAGCTCCATTCTTACGAATAGATTGATGCCATTATCAAAGGCTTTTGGGAGTGGGTTTGCTCTCTTGGGCTCCATGATCTCCCACCACTCAATGCTTTCTGCCATGTGACCTTACAGCCTTCACAAAGTTAACTTGAAATGTATCACAAACCTAAATATAAAACACAAAAGTATAAAATTCCTAGAAGATAACATAGGAGAAAATCTAGCTGACCTTGGGGTTAGTAATGACTCTAAATATAGTACCAAAGGATACAATTCATGAAGGAAAAAATAAGCTAGATTTCACTTAAATAAAAAATTTAAACCCTGCCAAAGACACTGTTGAGAATGAAAATATAATCCAGACTGGTAGAAATATTTGCCAAGAATATATCTAATAAAGGACCATATCCAAATACAGAAAGAATGTTTAGAACTCAAGAATAAGAAAACAACTTGATTAAAGCAATAGCCAAAGATTTTGTCAAGTATCTCAGTAAATAAGATCTAGAGACAGCATAAAAGGATGTGAAAGATGCTCTACACCATATATGCTCTATACCATATGTGGAGATGCAGATTGGAACAGAGATATGCCACTACATGTCTATGGGAATGGCCAAAATCCAGAACTCTGGCAAGACCAAATGCTGAGGAGGTGGAACAACAGGAATTCTCAATTATCGCCATTGAAATGCAAAATGGTAACTACCACTTTAAAAGCATTTTTACAGTTTCTTACACAACTGAATCTACTCTTACCAGATGATCCAGGAACTACATTCTGAGCATTTACCTAAAGAAGTTGAAAACTTACATCTAAACAAAACCCTGCCTGCAGTTGTATATGGCAGCTTTATTCATAATTGTCAAAATTTAGAGCCACCAAGATTTCCCACCACAGGTGAATTGTGGTATAATCTGGCAATGGAACATTAATCAGTGTTAATAAGAGGTGAGCTGTCGACCCCCAAAAAGACATGGAGGAAACTTAAATACATATTAGTAAATGAAAAGAACCAATGTGAAATCCCAACAGACTATATGACTCAAACTGTATGGAATTTTGGAAAAAACGAAACTGTAAAGGCAACAAACAGATCAGTTGTTACCAAGTACTGGGGGCAAAAAAGATGAACAGGCCGAATATAGAGATATTTTCGGGAAGTAAAACTACTCTCTATGGTACTATAATGGTACCCACATGTCATTACACATTTTATTCAAACCCAAAAATGTCCAACCCCAAGAGAAAAGCCTGGTCATTGGGCGGTAATGATGTGTCGGGTTCATCAACTGTAACAAAAATATCTTTCTGTAGATGTTGAAAATGGGGGAGGTTATGCATGTGTGGAGGCAGAAAGTGTATAGGAAATTTCTGAACATTCTGCAATTTTGCTCTGAACCTAGAATTGCTCTAACACATAAAGTCTATGTAAAATTTAAGCATACACATTTATAAAAGAAACAACTTCCATAATTGTACATGCTCAGTTATAGGATTTTCACTGCTGAAATGACTTGACATTTGAATGTCTTTTATTCTCATGAAGTCTAACCAAATCCTCTGCTGGGGACTTGGTTTTCAATTCTTAGATCAGATGTTGCCATTTTGTACAACGATCGCTCTGTCCTTGAGAATCATCATGTGAGTGCAGCTTATCGCCTTATGCAAGAAGAAGAAATGAATATCTTGATAAATTTATCCAAAGATGACTGGAGGTGAGTTTTAGAGGAAACCTAAGGGAAATTTAATTTCAGAAAAAGGATAAATTAAGTGACTTAAAGCAAAGAAAACAGATGAAATGGCATGCCTTGACCAGTTTACAAACTCGATTACTGTTGACTGAATGACTCTGAGAAGGACTAGTACCTAGAAGCCTTTGTATAGGAGCCTGACCATGCTTGATGGGTCTGAAATTTTTTCAGGTCAATTCAACATCCATACTCAAGTGTGAAATCACACAGCCCACAGTAAGTATAATACAGAATTATACTCTGTTTACAGTGTACCAATTTGTACCAGCTTGTACCAATATGTTGTCTTAAATAAATTCAAAATTTTAACATCATGTTTATTCCTTCCTGTATTATTTTTCTATATGTGGGGTGTAGCTTTTTTAAAAAAACATAACTTTCACTATTGGGACAGAAATTCACAACTGTACCAAAGAGGGCCAAGTGAGAAGTCTTGCATGTTTTCCCAAGGATCTGTTTAAGAAATTACATGGTCTGGTGATGCTAATTTCTATGTAGAGAAAAATAACAAGCTACAGACCTAGTACTACTAGTCCACACAATCCTTTTTCCTTTCTTTTTAGCCTGTGGTTGTCGTCATTTCCTTCATTTAGCAAACAAAAGTAAACGGTCCTCAGTTAAATATGAATCTCAGATAAGCATCTTTTCAATATAAGGATTGCCCTAATAATCTATATTATACTTTTTAAAATAAAATAAATCTTGTGTTATCTTTAACAAAGATCTTGTAATAAGTGGCCTGGAAAAGATTCCTACTCAAGTATAAGATCAAAAGTTTTTGGTTTTTAGTTTTTGTTCCTCAGCAAATTAAAAAGAAATGTGCAAAAGAAAATTTACATGGAATCAAGAAATACCTTTTAAAAATAAAAAACATAAAAACAAAACCAAAAAAGGTAAAATCAGTTCAAAACAACCCTTAATCTACCATGATTACATTTTAAAATTTCCATTGCTTCCTGGTTTTTAAAGGGCAGTTTCAGAAATATGAGCTCATTTTTGCATCTGTAGAAAGTGCTGTAAGGTGGACGAAGAGGCACTTGTTTTGGGATCCAGTTAAGGCCTTTCATTTACTCTGAAGAAGATTTTTTAGCCTAGGAAGGCCAGGATTTAATTGTAAAAGGATTTAAAGTACCACTGCTGGGCTATGTGGAGACCAGATGGGCTACGGTAGAAGCAGACGAAGTCTGGATATATTTCCCAAGATCTGAGAGGGTTTATTTACATGTAGATTATTAATTTTTCATCAGTGATTCTCATCATCAGAGGTAATACTTTTAATATTAATTTTGTTGTTATTCCTTTGAATTAACCTCTTTCTTTCTCATAGCTGAATTTCTTGCTATTTCAGTGTGATTTCACTTCCTACATTTTGTTTCTCACAAATGTTAGTCTAATAATTTATTGCTATAAATTTCTTTTAAGTAACTTCTTAATTGAATGTTTTTACAGAAGTATATCATATGAATTATAGAATTGAATGGATTATAGAATTTAATAGTCAACATTTCCCTAAAACTTAACAAAAGATCTATTTGCTTCTAAAGCCTTGAAAACATATTACTGACAATCACAACATGGATATCTTAAAAAAGTGTGGATTTCCTGCCTGCATATCTATTTCCTAAATTAGCTTTAATAAGAATAAATGCATTAGTGTAAAAAATTTGGCAAGAAAATAATTATGAGTAATATTTCCCTTGTATACTATTTTGCCTATTTTATTGACATAATATCTGGCATTTGCTGATTGCTTGTGCTCAAAGTACAGTATATTAGATTCTATAGATTTTACAACATTTTAGCCTCATTTTCCTTGGTTAACAACATTTTGTTTAGTTGCAATTCTAGTATGGATCTTACCCTAATTTCAGAGGCAAAATGTAATTAAAATACTTTTATTAACTACCTTTAACAGCTTCTTTTTTCTTAATAATTGGGTCAAGCATTCTAAGCAAGCTATCCAATATTATAATTGTAGCAGAATTTGATTTCCCATGGCTCTAAAAGTCACGTTGAATCTGAATACCCACAGTTTACAACAACTAACTAATTTGTGTGTGTGTGTGTGTGTGTGTGTGTGTTTAATCTTCTGACCATGCTATCTTTCGGTAAATTATCTTTGACACAAGATCATGATTCAAATTTATTCCACATGTTGATTTAGATTACACTCTGGCTACACTGCAGAGTAAAAATAAAATATGGTTTCCTGTGTAAGTGATGCTTTACCTATTGCTACTGAATTAACCATGAATTGTGATGAACGTAAGCTTTGGGTGGGATGGTTTATTTTCTCATTAATGTGAGAATGAGTTATTCATGCATCAGCTTAGTGGTAGAGTCACCATATTTAGTGTCGTGACTCAAAATTTCAATAGTACCAGAGCTTCTGTGTTAGACAAGGTCAGGTCCCAGAAGCTGAAACAAAGAACCCTCACTCACTTTGGCACCTGTGCTCCTGCAGGGCTGCTGTGATGGCAGGGTGACACGGTAGAGTCATCCAAGTGCCAGCTCTGGGAGTGGAAACTTGGACTGAAGTCTACCTCAGCTGTTTACAGCTCTGTGAGAAGCTAACAGCTCTGTTTCCTGTGGTGGGAAATCAGGCTGTTATGAGGATCAGGCTTTTAATGTACAGACAGAGCAACTGCAGCACAGTTCTAGGTCAATGCCTGGACTGAATGAATCCTGGATGAATAGTATTGGTATTATTAATAGTAATTTTATTTGAAAGATGAAAAGTGGGGAAGGAGCAAGGGGGATCTTGAGAGTCAGTGCCCCCCTTTTCCGGAGACCTTCAGCCTATTAGTTTTGTTGATCATATGAATCTAAAGAGTTCTGAAGCCCCACTTAATTACATATTTTTCTTCCAAAGCGTTCAATTTCTCAAAATGAATACAACTACTATACATTACAAACGTACACTAAATAAATAAAAGACTTTTACGATGCATGTAGAATAGTGTCTTTTGAAAATGTCCAAGGATACTTTCAGATAGAAAAATAAGACTTAGGAATTATAAGTTGGGAAGAAGGGTTGTGGGGTAAGAAAATACTTGTTCTTTAGGGGAATGTTAAACAGCATCATTCACAGATTACTCTGCTAGAAACTTCTTAAATCTATAAGAGTCCATGGCAAAATAGTGTTTAATTTTTGTGAGCATTTTTACATTTACAAACTAGCACCTTCTGTGTTCATATCCAGTAGGAAAAATACAATGTGATCAGAGATATTTAGAGATATGTTCCAATCCGGACTAAGGCAGGGCCAAATGTCATCTTTCTCCCTTTGATGCCTCTGCAGGGATCTTCGGAACTTAGTCATTGAAATGGTATTATCTACAGATATGTCCGGTCACTTCCAGCAGATTAAAAATATAAGGAACAGTTTGCAGCAGCCTGAAGGGTAGGTTATTTTCTTTTGTCACAGTAGAGTTCTGTGGGCTAGGACTCAGCCAAGACAAATTAGTGATTGTCCTGATAACGTGGACGTGTTCTTGCTTTGGTAGGCTTGACAGAGCCAAGACCATGTCCCTGATTCTCCATGCGGCAGACATCAGCCACCCAGCCAAATCCTGGAGGCTGCACTACAGGTGGACCACGGCCCTCATGGAGGAGTTTTTCCTACAGGTGCCCTTTTCACACTGCGCAAATGCTTTCAGACATGTGATCGTGCGTAGTGACGTACACCTTTTCTTTACAGGGTCCAGAGCTGGTGACTTACTGTTACCAATCAGCCACAACACACTCGTGGCAGTTTTGGGAGAATTTATTAATCTTTTAGATAAATATGTTAAGTAAACCGATGTAGTGTAATGTATCTTTAAAAGAGAACCACATTTTGGTTCTCGATGCCAGGAAAGAAAGAAAACAAACAGATTAGAATTGCTGTCTGCTATTAAGAGGTCAGAGCAGAGGCAACAAATGGCTTTCATGATGGAAAAGGCAAGGTGAGGGCTTTGACATTTCTGTGTACATCTTGCTTCTCAGAATTTAGTCCATTTGCACAGAGTTCAGCAGAGCATGAGAAACCCAGGTTTAGCTGGGTGGACATGTGCTTAGCTCAAACAACAGCAACCAAAAAGTACTATTTATGAGAAAACAGACCTGGAGCTGGAGAATGGCCGGTGTTCTCTGCTGCAAGTATTCTCCTGGTTTCCCGTGCAGTGCCCCTGTTCTGTCCACCATCCTGCCCTCTGCCTGGGAAACCATCATACACATGTGATGCTAACCACTCAAAGGTAGCATCAGACCCCAAATGTGAAAGGCTCAGTCTCCCACAAGATTGGCTCTGCTTTGGATGCTAGCCACAAACAGGGCTGTAGGGCACCAGCCTGCTACAAATTTAGGGCTTCTTACCATTGACCCTACATGTGATCATTTCTACACAAACCACAGAACCTAGGAAATGCTACCCTTACGGTCTTATTATAAAACAATAATACGCGGATATTGATTCTGAACCCAGTAAGAGTGGAAGTGGTGTTTAGAGAAAGACCTGGAAGGTCCCGATGTGGAAGCCCATGCCTTCTTCAGGTGCAATAGGGGTGTCAGGCTCCCAGCTTATCTGTGTGTTCACCAACCAGGAGGCTTCCATGTCTGGAGTTTTTATCAGGATTCACTAGGTGGGCGTGATTGATTAAATTATTTCCCATGTGACTGAACTCAAATACCAGTCTTCGCATTCTCCTTAGGGGCTCAGACTGGCCCCAAGGTCCAATTCTCCAATCACGGAGTCGGTCTTTCTGGTGAGAGGCCCCCACCCTGAAGCTAACGAGGGGGTCTATCAGAGGTTCTGTCACTCGGGAAATTCCATGTGCTTTTTGAAGCTTTGTACCAGAAAGAAGAGATAAGAACCTACTAAATTCTCTATCATACCATAGGCCTCTTTGGAGCAGTGTTTTATGTATTTTTAGATTATTTCATTTCTCAATATGGCTTTTTTATTTAGAATGTTATCTCCTGAGTTTATAGTCATTCTGGAGACATACACACCAAATATATGTCTATATTTTTTGTTTTTCCTGATGCTGGGGATTGAACCCAGGGCCTCAGGCATGGTAAACAAGCACTCAGTCACTCAGCTACAACCCCAGCCCTATATGTCTATATTTTGATAACTCTGATTTTCATCTGCTATTGTTAATGGATATGATTCACTTTCAATACCATTGCATATTCTTAGAGAAAGTTACAGAGTAGCAATACCAAATTCAATATCTTCAAAATAAAAGTAGTTTTGAAAAATATTTTGATACTTTAATGCACTTGAAATACACTAAATTTTAAGGTCTATCAAATTTGACAGACAATTACCTGCCATGGACAGTTAAAAATTATAGTTTTAGATATTCAACTAACCAGTAATCAGGAAATGATACATGTAAAGGGATCTTAGAAATCTCTAAGAATAACCTTTTATGTTAGAGTTGGAGAAACAAACACATGAAGAGAAAAAATGATTTTTGTCAGGTTAAGTTTTTTTTTTTACATTGAATGATCACAGGAAAGTTTGTTACACGCAACTAAAGCAGTGTTTAGAGGTAATTTTATAGCTTCAAATATTTTCCTTATTAGAAAAGAACAAATACATAAAATCAAGTTATCTATGTTTCTATCTTAAGAATCTGTGTGAAATTAAGAAAATTGAACCACAATGTGTTGATAGGAAGAAGTCATAAATATAAAGGCAAATATCAGTGAAATAAAGCAAAGATAAACAGCTAAAGTTAATAAAGATAGCACTTGATTCTCTGAAAAAGTAATGAGATTACTTGCAGTATCAAAGAGGAAAAATTACCAATGGAACAGGAATATCATTATAAATCTTACATATGTCAAAAGGATAAAAATATTAGGTACAGTTATGCCTAAAATTGACAACATAGATAAAATTGTCAAATTCTCTGAAAGATAAATTACCAAAACAGACATCAGAAAAAATTATTTGAATATTCATGTATCTATTTTTAAAAATTGAATTTTTAATATAACTCTTCTCATGATGAAACCTCCATGCTCAGGTGACTTCACCTTATTTCTGATTTAAATCCCCATTACTCTTTAAAGAGATGGTAATTCTCTCAAAGATTCCAGGGATAAATAATTCTAGTCTTATGCAATTTTTTTTAAACAGAGAGTAAGAGGAAAATTTTGCACCATAATCCCTCACAAAACCTGACAGTCTTTTCAAATAAAGAAAATTACACACTATATTTGTCATGAAAATGATGGGAAAAACCTTAAAATATTAGCAAGTCAAATCTAGCAAGATAGTAAAAGAATGCATATCATGGCTTGAGTATGAATATTCAAAATTCAATTAAAGTGATTCACTATGTTAAAAGGAAAAATCACATCATATCAGTAGCTATATAGAACGCATTTGACAAAGTTTAATACACACTAGTTATAAAAACTCTCAGCAAGTAGAAATGGGAAACCTTTTACAACTTGAACTTCAAGAACTTCATGGCAAAATACTGAACACTTTAATAGCAAGATCAGGATATCTAATATAACCACTTCTATTCAATATTGCATTTGAAGTTTTATGCACTGTAATAAGACACTAAAAGGAAATAATGAACAGATTGGACAAAACTAAATAAAACTATCCTTATCTGCAGAAGCATGAGTGTCAGCATTTAACACTTTGAGGAATTTACCAAAAGTTACTAGAAACAGCAAGTAAATTTGACAGAGTTGTAGGAGCAATTGTATTTCTGTGTGCTGGCAGCAAACAATTTAAAAATTAAATCTAAACACATTATTTATGATAACATAAGTTAATAAAATCTGAGAGAATGTATTTAAGTGCATACAAAATCTCTGGACAGAAAAACCACAAAATATTGTTGAAAGAAAATTAAAGCCCCATATAAATGGGAGAGAACCCATAATAATGGATTGAAATACTCAATGTTGCTAAGATGTCAATTCTTCCAAAATTGGTTAATATATTTAACAAATCAAAAACTGTCAGACTTTTACATAGCTATAATCATAGACAGGGATGTAAGAATCTAAATTATCCCAAACAGTTTTGAAGACCAAGAAGGTTGGATAGTTCATACTTTCTTACTACCTGCGTTAGTATAAAGCTGCAGTAACCAAGGCAGAAAAACACTGGGACAGAGATAGGCCAATAGATCAGCAAAATAGAATGACGATTTCAGAAATAGAACCAGGCACAGACTCTTATGTGCTTTCCTCCAAAGGCACCAAAACAACTAAATGGGAAAAGTCCATAAGTGGAAGTGGAACAACAATTATTAAGTGTACAGGAAGAAAAGAAAACTTACTCTCTACCAAAACCTAACACACACACACATAATGCAAGATGCACCATAAGCTTAAAATAGATCATAAAACTATAAAGCTCTCTCAAGAAAACACACAAGAATCTCTCTCATCTTGGAGAAGAAGGCACAGAAAATATTACCTATAAAAGAGAAAATTAGCCAGTGGACAACAGCAAAATGCAAAACTTCTGTTTTTCCAATGATATCATTAAGAAAAGATAAACCATAAACTGAGAGAAAATATTTGTAGTACTAAAATATGTCCAAGAACTGTGTTCTCTTTGGATAAAGAATACATAAAAATAAAGGAGATAACCTGGCCAGCGTAAACAGACACTTTGTAGAAGAAAATTCACATATAAGTATGCTCGTTGTTTCTTTATCAAAGAATTACAAATGAGAGACCACTACATCTTACCAAGAAAGGCTGATATAATGTGTTACCAAGAATGTGGAAAAACTAGAAGTATCATCTATCAGTGGTGGAAATATAAATCACCATTCTGGAAAACAGCTGACTTACAGCATCTACTAAAATTAGACTTAATATTCCTTAACCCCAGAATTTCCATGCCTAGGTGTATAACCCAGATAAACTAGCACATATGTTCATCAAATGTCATATAGGAATAGTAACAACAATAGTTATTCATAGTAGCCCAATGTAGGAAATAGTCTGAATATCCATCAAAAATAGCAGTGGATAAATTATGGTATAGTCATACAATGAAATATGCAACAATGAAAAATAGGCTATAATGATGAATTTCAAAAATGCATATTATTATTCAATTCATATGAAGTTTAAAAACTGGCAAAGTTTATTTTTGGTGATCAAAATCAGAATAGTAGGCACCTATGTGGGGTAGGATTTCTTGGGAGATGTTAAGTGAACTTTAGGATCAGGATCTATATCTTGATATGTCTTACAAAGAGTGCTTGTGATTATAAACTTCAAATTTGCACTTGTTTTCCTCAATTAAAAAAAATAATCAGAATGAAATTACCTCACCAATGACTTAAATTTTTAAAAACCTAAATAAGACATACTGTTAACAATTTCCAATAAATAACAGAGACCCTTGCAAATTACCATTAGATCTCCAAATACAATCATGACCATATTATTGCTTTGTTTTACTGATTTCAAAGGAAAGAATACCTGATAGAGTAATGAGTTCAATGAAATTAAGATTTATTTTTTTGAAGTTCATCACTATATTCTTGAATATTCTAGAAAGGTAATTGATACAAATAATGAGGCTTCAAGGATGCAGTGATTTTTGCCATTTGAATTTTGGGGTAGAGCAAAATTGTTCCACGAGG